CAACTATTTGTATTATTCACTTATCTTCAAAAAGAGTTCAACTTTACTTTAGAAACCAGTTCAACGTATTTCAAATCTAATAAAGACAGCATACTTAAACTTCCAGAGGAGTCAAGACCTGCAAAGGTACTGCTGTAGAAAGCTTAAACACTGATTTGACTCTTGAGGAAAGCTTTACCCCCAAAGGCTAAAAAATAAAGCAGAAAAGGTTCAACTGGTAGTAGCCTTCAAGAGAGGCTACTTTGCAGCATCGATTTGACCTGTTATTTCCTAAGTTGTCCTGTGAACTTCTCAGAATTTGGTGCTCAGTCATTTTTTGGTTTGGCCTTGGTGTTATGGATTGCTAGAGACTAATCTATTTTAGACAGAAACTCAGGTAAGTATAGTAATTCCTTCTGATCTTAAGACTGAACATAGCAGTATCATTAGTAAAAATACTAACAGTAATCAAATGATGTTCAGAAACACTCTTGTCACTGATTTCTTACAAATATTCTTATGTCTCCAACCCTACAAAAGAAAAGTCTGATGCATCACAAAACTTCTAGTTTTCAGTCTTCCTTCCAGTATTTATCCACTTTCCATCACCTTTCTGATGGACCATCCCTCCCATATTTCCAACACACATATGGAAGTGCCAGTTCACTTTCTTGGACGGTTTCAGAAAATCATCCAGAAGTAATGCTTTGAATTCACTTTTTTTTTCAACTTCCATGTTATACCATATTTTATTCCATTAGCCCACTAGAGTCAGCTTAGCAGGGTAAAGGTATAGTAGTGTCTGTCTATATTCAGATAATACCAGGGCTTGTTCCCCTTGGACAGAGCAGCAAGGGAGGAAATATGCAATCTGACTGAAGGGTAGCTGGGCAGCAGTGCTACTGGTTAGCATCTTCTGGCTAAGATCTGCACAAGGTATTATAAACAGATTATCAGGACTAAAATTCAAAGTTCAACCATGGTATGATATACAATATAAATTGTACATAATTTATTACATTGATTTATTATCAATTTATTATAAACAGGTTAACTTTTATTCAGTTATAATTTATTACTATTAATTATAATAATGTAATATTTGATACAATTAAAAATTACCACACAGCAAAGGCTGGCCTTGACTGATGGTAATGTAAGCAGTTTCATGCCTTCTGTACTGTACAAGGTGCTATTCTACTCCAGCTGTACTGTCAGTCTCACTGTAACAGCATCAGGATAATCTAGACTTTTAATTTCCGTATTTATTAAAAATGGTCTCTTAGTAAATACTTGATTTTATTTTCTTGGTTAAGTACGCTCATTTTCTGTATGGAATTATAACCACTTCTAGCGGGTACTACATCATCGTATTCATAGGCTTTGTGAAAACCAGATTCAGAAGTTGCACTTCCTAATTGTGTTTTTCTGTGTGTATGTAATAGAGGATCAGTGAATAACATGTTTGATGCACAGAATTATAGATGGCTTCAGAAAGGAGAAGCAACACTAAAATAATGATGTGGCTCTCCTAAACAGAACATAGGCTGGCTTTAAGCATGTACATCGAAAAAGCCATCTGAAAGAAAATTTCTCTTTTCCAATGCACGTGGAAGCATCCAAAATTCGTAGGCATTTTATTTTCACCTTTTGTAAATTCTCTAGCAGCTAGCATTTTTCTTTGCTTGCTCTGAACTGCCTTGACATGAGCAATGAGGTGCTTTGCCCATGCTGAAATTCAGGAACGAGGTGGAATGAGACGCAAGTCCCTGGAGAACACCTAGTGAATGCGCTCAAAGCAGACCTTGTGCAAGCTATTCAAATAGGGCTCCCTGAAAATGCCATTAGAGTGACTTCATTTTTTTAAGTGAAAACGGTACATAACTTCTGTAGTGGAGAAATTCATGTGGCTTAGGAGGTGAAGGGCCCGTCTTCAGTGTATCCCATACCCTTGCTGGAATTCAAGCCCTCATCTCCCAGGAGAAAGCACCAGGCACTATAAGGCACTAGGTTTTAGCATAGGGTGGGTGGGAAAAATGCCCACCTTCCTTCTGAAGCCCTTACTCAAATGAATGTGGCTTAATGACCCAAGAAGAGAACTCAAGGACTGATAACTTTGCAGGTCAATAACTGTATTGTAGATGAGTTCGGGTTTCCAGTCTCTGCTCCCAGGACTATTCTTGTTTTAATCCAGTAACACAGAAAAAAAGTATCTATATGTGGGCGAGTATCCTAACAATAATGATATAGAAGTATTTTGGTCTATATCTTTCTAATAGCATGAATTTTTCCTCGCTTTCTTAATATCTGCCTAGAAAAGAAAGTAGTGAATAAAGTACTTCAGTTGTGAGCTTCCTTTCAGCTCTTCAGAGGGTGCTGCTGTGCAGCTTTTTCGTCTGAATCCTCAGGCATGAAATTACATATTCTTAATTATGAGATCGTGTGCCACAGCTTTTGTGTAAGAGCACTGCCACCTCCACAGCCGCAAGATTGTTTCGCATTACTCCCTCACTGGACTGCTACAGTTTGGAAACAGGGTCCAGCTTCTCTATACGCTTACTGACAGTTTTAAACACGCTGGAAAAGCACTACTGAAGGACCTCTCTTGCATATCCTGATGGATGTCTTCTTTTCCTGCACAATGCCTCGCGAGGCACCTAGCTTTTGGCACAGCACTTGTTGCAGCCTGCAACCTCGCAGCACCAGCTGCAGCCCTGCCTCCGCTCGCACCCCTGACAGCTCCTTTTCCAAGACACCCCCACTGCAGCCCGCTCTGTTGCCTGTCACTTCTCTCCCCTGCAATCTGTCTGTCAGCATGAGGCAGTTCCAAACACAGGCCAGCAATGACCAGTCCTGCTTTTTCCACAGCCCTCAGCCTGCTGGGTGAGAAATTATCTACTAAACAATAGAGGGGCAACCACTGAAGGGAAAGGCTTGCTCAATCTGGAGTTTCATAATAGGGGAAAGTCCCCCAAATAATATTTTCAGCTTAAGTTAATGCAATCATTATGTGATAACTATATGGGGGCTTAGCTGCATTTTGCTCAATAGTCAGCTGCTGGTCTTCTGTGAGAAATATGATATTCTGCCCAGAGCAGTGCTGAGCACAGTGCCTGTTGGCCTAAAATAAACACAGTACTCAGCCCACAACCAGACTGGAAACACCAGGGGAAAACGTTGTGACAAAGCTGACTGCTGCTTGTGAAGCAGAACAGCCTCCAAGGTCAAAAAACGAGTAAGTGCTTTGGCAGCGTGGTGCCCATTTCCTTGTTCATGAATGATGATGAATATGAAGGATCCTGGAAGACATACCCAGGGGACTTTGGTGTATGTCCTGTGCCCCCAGGCAGGAGTAACTCCACCTCGCTGCCTTTTTTGCTTGTTTTGTGCAAGCTGTCGAGAGATGCAAACTGACAATGACCATGGAGCTCAGCAAAAGCCTCATGAGCCCCACATGCATTTCAAGCCAAAACCATTGATGCCTTCAAGCTCCCCACACAGTTCTGCTGAAACATATGGGCTAGACCTAGGGGTTAGGAAACCAGATCCATAGCTGGAGTACAGCAGCAAATATTCAGAGTAAGCACCTCAGCTGAAAGTGCTCCTATTGCAGTGTCTAACTCTCTGTGGTGTCATGGGGAAAATCCACATCCAGCCTTGGAGGGGCAAGGAGCACGAGTCTGAATGAAGGAGCTTCTCCAGCTCAGTGGTCTTCCCTGCACATGACCAGCAGTGCTGGCCATACTGAGGTCTCCTAAGTGGGGCTGTTGATGGCTCTACTTCACCTCTTCTTGCCCTTTTCCTGCATGAGGTCAATGGAAAAAGCTGTTCCCTAAAATTCTTGCCATATGGGAGCATCCTGGTGCCAGGATCTGTTCCCAAAGCTGCGTAACTGGGACTCCTGCTTTCTGGACCAGGTCCTGCAGCACCTGGTTAGGCCTGCCACCTCCTGACCCACAGTCTGGGAGATGCTTAAAACTCAGGTTGGGATGTGCTGCTGAAGGCCACCGTGTGCTCCCTCCACTTGCTGGCTCTTGCTGACACAGGAAGAAAACCACGCTGAGGTCTCCAAGACAAAGTGCCCAGGCTGAGGCAGCCCCATCTAAGCGTAGCCCTCAGGCAGAGAAGCTGCTGGGGCACAGTGTGGATCATTGCACCTCTCTGGGAAGGCCTGGGTTAAAGAAGAAATTACCGTTGTGGTTATGGGTCCAGCTCTATCATCTGCTGCAGGACTATCAGAGCTCCCTACAGAGGTTTTCAGATGCACCTAAGTAATTCAGGGAGAGGGAGAGGTGCTTCTCTGAATGCTGCGTATCAGACTTACTTTCTGATTTGTTTCTGTTTCCCTCTTGCTGTTACTGTATACTTTCTGCAGATGCTTGCCACGTCTTTGAGATGATTCAGCAGAGCAAGCTAATGAGATGCAGCAGCATCAACAGGATGCCTCCTCTCTGGGAAGGGAAAAAGACACATTTCCTTCTTTCACTGCTTGTTTCAGAGAGTGAAAACCAGAAGAGACTGGATTGTGCCTCCCACTTTGCTGCAGGACGTGAAAAGCCATTCTCCTGGTACTTTGTCTGTTGGCCCTTGATTTCCCCAGGCACACTCCTTCTTCAGAAATAAACTGGGCAGGGAACCAGACTACATAGCGGTTGGTTCAATTTAAGATGGGGCAGGACACCTCCCTCCATCAGCAAAGAAGCTGTCAGAGCCAGCTCTTCCCAGGAGAAGGTTAACTTCCCCAGCTTTAGCTTTCCTCAGGGTAGGAATACTGCTGGAAAAAGAAGCTGGAGGGGAGCAAAGAGTATTGCAGCCATGCACAAAGGCAGGCTGCGGTGTTTCTACCTACAGGGCTGACTTCCACATTTCATGGATGTGACAATCCCAGGATGTAGGAAGTATGTAGCCAAATTCTTTGCTTGAGTGAACAAGCTCTCTCAACTGCAGGAGGGAATTTGGTAATTCCTTTAAAAGGCAAAAGGAGATAAATGGCAAGGCAGTTATCTTAGAAGTGCTGGGACATGCATGAACTCGCTACCTCAAAATCAGGAGGTAGAGGAAGGCCTTTCCACATTGTTGTTTGGGTATGACTTCACAATCCAATTTGCTGGTCTCTCTCTTGGTTGTTTTCATACAATTTACTTCATGTTTTACACAATATACAAACAAAACAAGGGTTGTTTTTTTTTTTATATATTGCAGTGAAGCACAGTGTCTGAAGGTTGACCAATGCTTTTAAACCATGTAGCAGTTCTTGCAGGAAAAACAGGATGTTGACTACATGACCTTATTTACATAGTATACAGCCTTTAGAAAAAAAAAAAAAAAAACAAGGGCATGAAAGTGAGTGTGGAGCTAGCTGGAGCAGAGAGGGGAACAGCAAGAGTATGACTACAGGGGTGATTTGCCCAGAGGTGGTTGTTTGGGTCAGGTTTTGGGGTGCACTTTGCTATGAAGTGCTAAGCGTGGTCTGAAACCTTCTCCGGGGAGCGAGTTGGTGCGTGGGGTGCTGAGTTTCCTGAGAAAGGCTCTGCATTTCCAACTCTCTCCACACTGGTGCTCTGACCATAGCAATGTTTGTGAGATGGATTACATAGTTGTCCTGTTGCAGGCCTTGGCCATACCAGGACGGGCTCCCTCAGTTCAGCAAACACCAAGTTCTGCCTGGACTTCTTCAAAGAGCAGAGCAAAGTAAAAAGAAATGAAAATATCTTCTTCTCCCCACTGAGCATCTCAGCTGCCCTGAGCATGGTCCAGCTGGGTGCTGGAGAAAACACAGCTGAAGAGATGGAAAAGGTGAGTTTCTTCCCCTTTTCCTGGGAACTGCTAGTAGAGGCTTACTTTTGGAAATGGAAAAGAGGCAGGAACCTTCTGGCAGTCCAGGCCATGTTCTTCACAAACAGCAAACTGAAAGAGGTGGCAGCAACAAGTCTCAAAGCTCTCCTTTCCAAACATGCTCATCTGGCTTGCGGTGCCTGTGAGACTCCAGTGCAGCCTCAATGCATTCTTTGTGTCTTTGTTAATCTATTTACATAGATTTATATTGCATTTATATCACAGGTACTTCATATTCAAGAGGTGCTGAGCATGGCAAGTCCAAGAACCAAGAGCACCACTGGAAAGAGGAGATAGCATCTGAACTGTGTGATAACATTGATCTTCGCATGAAACGAAGCAGGGCAAGGCAGAGCTACCTGGTAAATGGCAGCACTTCATCCAAAAGCAGAGTAAGAGCAGAGTTCATCCCTGTTCTCATCTCATCAAGCTCTGAAACCTGTGTGCACGTGCAGAAGAGACCCCATTGCTTTGCTGCATGACCAGCTGGGTTAGCTCAGTTGGTTAGAGCATGGTGCTAATAACAGGGTGATCCTTTTTCAAGCTGGAAATTACAGGAGGGGAGGGAGACAAGTGTGTGACTTTGGATGGTCAGGAAGCCCAGACATGTGTTTGTGGATCTTTGCAGGCCCCTTGGCCCCACAAGTGCATTTAGGGAGAGTGACTATGATTTCAGCCTGAGGGTGGGGGTCCAGGAGAGAGCATCTTGATTAAAAAATCCTTCCCTTGCTGCTCGCAGTGTGAAGAAGCCAGAGGAGCCCATTCTCAGTTCCAGGAGCTTCTGTCTGCTCTTGGCAAAGCTGGTGCCACGTGTTCCCTCCGTGTTGCCAATAAGCTTTTTGGAGAAGTGAGTTTTCAGTTCCTTCAGGTAAGTGAGAAATGCTTACAGGTTTTGTGGTTTTGAAAAACTTTTGTACTACACTTTGAACTTCTGCTAAGGACATCAAGTTGCATGTTTCTGTATTGCTGCTGTTGTGACAGAAAAGTGAGTTCTCGCTGATGGATGAAACACAGAATGAGCAAAGTATAAAGAGAACAATTTATGAGATTAAATAGGCTTTGTGGAAAGTCAAGAAAAAGGGCCTGCATTTCCTGATGAGGATATAAGAATACTTTTGAAAGCCCTGGGTAGAAATTTTCACCAAAATTATCTTTCTTCATGCTTTGATATAGATGGAATTGCCACCCTTCATCTACATTTTTTTAAATGCTGCAGCACATTTGCATCTTTGAGAAGCGGTGTAGTGCAGAGCATTTCCATAGAAATCATCGTTCCAGACAAGGGAAAAAAAATCCAGTTTGCCCAGGCTGCAAACTGGGATCCTGGGGAAAGAGTTCACGTCATTTTTAATCTCTCTCTGCACACGTATGTATATACTGAGACCTGACTTTAATGGCCTGATCCCAGAGCATTCGTTCTGCTCATTTGAGCTGTGTGCAATGGGGGAGATGAAGCCCTTCCGTGTTATTTTTCATTTGCTGGCACTTTGAAGTGGATGGGTCTCCACACACAGTGGGATGAGAAGGGAGGGCCAGCTTCCAACCAGGGCCAGGGAGCAGCAGTGAGGAGGCTGCTCCGCAAGGACAGGGGAGCGGGGACCATGGGTGATGGCCAGGTTGGCAGGGTCACGCCTTGCCCTCCCTGACAGCTCTCTTGCTGACATCGTTGTCATGGTGAAAAAGCAAAACACCCTCTCACAAAGAACAGCAAGAGTAAAAGACAGCAGAGCTGGGACTCGCTTATGTGAAAGGCATCCCAGGAACTGGTTGCTCAGCTCTTCCTCATGCCCAGAAAGTCACAGTGCATATGCAGGACATTAATACTGGAACAAGTAGCCCCACACAGAGCTCTGACCTACAGGTTGGCATCCATTTCTTGAACTCCTGTTTTGACCTGTGGTCAAGTAGCTCCCTGATTACCATCATGAGAGGCACCTCTCTTCCCCGTTTTGTAGTGGTACTTAGAATCTGCAACAGCCTTGTACCTTGCAGAGCTGGAAGGGGTGGACTTCATTACTGCTGCTGAATAGTTCAGAGGGAAGATGAATTCCTGGGTAGAAAAGCAAACCAGTGGTAAGGACAAGGCCTGTGCTTGGCTGCCTGGGGAATGTGCATCACGACCATGTGAGAAGTCAATACCTTGTGTCTGAGTTCCTTCCTTTCCCTGAGTGTAGAAGCATTCAGAAATACTGTGAAGTGATTAATTTTACTCACAGCTACTGTAAAAGCAGCTTGGGGCATAAAATGGCCCTGAGCTCCTGGGAGCTTTGTCTCTGCTAAAGCTGTGGATCAATTCTTGCCACAAACGGACAATACTTCCACGTGAGGAAGTAATGGGATCATCCTCAGTCAATGGGCAAAACAAAAGCACAATTCACCTTTGTTTGTTGTTTTAAAGGGAAGATTAAAGATCTGTTCCCTCCTGGTTCTGTTGGTCACACACCTGTGTTAGCTCTGGTCAATGCTATACACTTCAAAGGGCAATGGGCTATAAAATTTGAGGAGAAAAACAGCAGGGAAATGCCTTTCAGACTGAACAGGGTATAGTTGGGACAAGAGCTGTGGGGAGCAGAGGAAAGTGGGGAAAGTCCTGGTAACCTGTGCTCTGCTGTCTGCAGGGCAAGTCTCTGCCTGGCTCAGGGGTGGGGGCCCAGTTTATTCAAGCCAAGAGCCTTCACCCTGTGAAGTGGGAAAGCCGCATCCTCTCCCCAAGTGCCTCTGCGACAGAGGTCATGTGAAGACAAGCTTTGGAACCCCCTTGGAGAGGCTAAGTTATAGAGGAGACTTTGCTGAGGGCACATCAACCTTTCCTGGGGGTTGTACTGGAAGTTGGCATTATCCTTGAGGAAAGAATTAGAGGAGCAGTACAAATTACAGTGCAGAGGACAAGAAACCCTTAGAGCAACTGTTACAGCTTTCACAGAGCTTGAGCCTCTGCCAATGCTCTCAGCAAAATATATAGTGGTTTGAGGAGTGCTCATGGAAAAGGAGCAAGAAATTTCAAGCAGGTTGATCCCATGGGGTTTATTACATGCTTTATTTTGCCTGGCTTTTTTCTGACTATTGATTATCTTTCTGTATTTTAAAGAGAGCACAGAAATGTACCCATGATGTGTTGGACAGGAAAATATGAATTAGCCAGGAGACAAGAAGAGCAAGTGACAGTGCTGGAGCTCCCATATACTGCAGAAGAGCTCAGGATGTTCATTCTTCTGCCAAAAAATATCTGTGAGGAGTTTACTGGCCTTGAACAGGTAACACTCCTGTCTGCCCCTGGGAGGAGAAACTACCTGTCCATCCAGTACATAAACAAGATGCTTCCCAGCCATGCAGGCGAAGCTTGTATCTTTTATTGTTATGGGTTTTATCTTGTTTTCCACAGGCACAGTGCTGTTGCCTGTGTAAAGATTAGAGAGATTCATGGTTATACAGATTGCTTCAGAAGAGCAGAGAAAGACTGAGTAAACCTACTCAAAAGCAACACTTCATAGCCTTTCCAAGGGAGTTAATGCCTATTTCAGTGGACAAAATGTAGCACTAGGGAAGGGAACTTCTTCCTTGCAAAAGTATCAAGACACAATGCTGTATTGGTGTCTGATAAAAGTCTGAACAAATGAGAAGGATCCCTCTGAAAAAGCTGGATCTGAATTTGTCTCATTTCATACTCAGTAGCTGTAGGACACACGTTCTGTCTTTGTCATGAAAACCAGGCTTTTTCTTAAAGGAAAGTGTTGCTGTGAGCATTTTGTTCTAGTTTCTCATGACCATGATGCCCTGTGTTTTCTCCTTGCAGCTAGAGAGTGCTGTCACCTATGAGAAACTAGCAGAATGGACCAACATGGAGAATGTGTATCCACAAAAAATCATGGTATACTTGCCCCAGTTCAGAAAGGAGGAGAGCTGTGAGCTCATACCAGCACTGCAGGCTCTGGGGATGAGGGGTGGCTTCGGCCTTCAACAAGCTGATTTCTCTGGGCTGTCAAGAGAGCCTGGGCTGTTCCTCTCCAAGGCCATTCACAAGTTCTTTGTGGAAGTTAATGAAGAAGGCACCAAGGCAGCTGCTACAGGGGTGACTATAATACTGTTGTGCTTCCACATTCCTTACGAGTTCAGAACTGACCACCTGTTCCTCTTCTCAATCAAACACAATCCGAGCAAGAACATTATCTTCTCTGGCCAATGTTGTTCCCCCTAAGGGTAGAGCAGGTTCTACTTCTTTCTTCCCAAAGAGAGCACAGTACTGTGGTAGAAAGGAGTAAGGCATAAACAAGATGTTGCTATCAAGTCTCACCTGCATTTCCTGATATCCATAATCTTGATCCCCCAAAAAACCACCAAGCTGCTTTGGCAAGACTACTGGAAAAAATTATAATGGGCCTTTCCTGTTTAGAGCTCTTCTCAAATGAGAGAGCTTATGGAGCTTATTTCATTCTTATTTCATTCTTATTTCATTCTTAGCCATGAAAACTTTCACTGGAGTTGGGTTGTCTAAGCAGTTGTGTGAAGTGGTGTATAAATAAGAAGACCAGAATGATGCCTTCCCTCTTCAGCTGTACAGCAAGGCTGGTGGTGGGGCCAGCCTCCAGAAGGTGTTGCAGACCTTCCTCCCCAGCTGCAAGGTTCCAAGCCAGAGACAGCTGAGTGCTGAACCCCTCGCTTTCCTCCCACATGTCTCCAGCAACTGCATCTCCAGTGCCTTAACACCACCATGAGGGGAGGCTCTTGGCTGCCATGATGGCAGTGAAACCCACAGGTCATGTTCATGTCCTGAGTGCAGCTCCACACAGATGTTGGGTGTGGAGACATGTAGGTGCATTTGTCCCTCACTCTTCTCCTCAGGTATTCTTTCCAGCCGTTCTCTTTGGGAAGGACCTCTGAAGTGTCAAGAGCCACAGGGGTAGAGACACAAAAGCTATCCCTGGGCAGAGGTAGCTGGTCTTCCCATTCAGCACAAGGTAGAGAAGTCCTTCTCCATTCTGGTGGGCCCTGGGGGGGTTATGCTCTTTGCTTGGCTGTGATTTGGCAGCAAGCCTTTGCCGTGTGATGCAGCACCTTCTGAAGGATTGCAGGCTCATCAGTGTTGTGCCGCAAAGGGCTCCTAAGGGCACCAGTCCCATTTCCCTGCTGTGCAAGTGCAAGCAATGAACACCTTCACAATGATGCCAACTGTCTGTCTGACAAAGCCTGGGCAGGTTTCAGGGGAACCCCAAAACTCTGCAGTGACGTGTTGTCTGACCACAAAAAGTTGGCTGCACCTTCTTTGTCCTCAGCTGTGCCATGCCTGTATGTTGTTTCAGGGGAAAGCTGAGTACTGCTTTCATCCCTTTTTTTCTCTCCTGCTGCAAGCATCATGTGTAGACAGATTGTAGATCATGTGTAGACACATGGTCTGACACATTGCATGCCATGAGTGTGTGTGGTTTTCCAAAGCTTGATACATTTACAACAATGAACTATAGCTTAGAAGTCATTTTAACTATAGTAGTCCTGTTAAACTGTAGTAATTTCCTGAACCATATAGTGTGGTAGCAATAAAGGTATTCAAAGCATTTAACTGGTCTGGCTTTTTGAATCCTGATTTGAAAGATGCCTTAGGTACTCAACGCTTTTGAATATCTTGCCACATGTCTTGTCTTGCCTGTTGTATTTCATCCATGAACTAAAAGCACAGTGAGGGGCTGAGGTTCCACCACCAGGAACTTAAATGTCTTCCACCTGCATTTCTCTGACTTGCCATTCTAAAAATAATAATGGATGCAAAAGGTGAGGTTTCTTTTTAGTATCACTGGGAAATCTTTCAAAGAAAACTCTTCCCCAAAGCTCTGGTGGTTGACATGTGCCTGAAAAAACACACTCCTTCAAGACCATAAGATGTTTGGCCTTGGAGGAAGGTTGTTCTAAGTCTGTAATCTCTCATTCTTCCAGTTCTACAGCCCTCTGCTTGATGAATAGGAAATTATCTTTCTAGAGGGGCGACCATTGAGGGGAGAGGCTTTCTCAGTCCAGAATTTCATAATAGATGAAAGTGCCTCTAAAGTACCATATCCTCCAAATCATATTTTCAGTATATATTAATGCAATCGTCTTATACCTGTACTGGGGTGCACTGAGTGTGACTGGGATGAAGTTAACTTTCTTCATAGCAGCCTGTATGGTGGTCTTTTGGACTTCTGGCTAAAACAGTGTTGATAACACTAATATTTTGGCTGTTGCTGAACAGTGTCTGCACAGCACTGAGGCTTTTTCTTTTTCCCACTCTGCTCCTGTCCCCGGCAAGTAATTTGGGGGTGGACAAGAAGCTGGGAGGGGACACAGCCAGGAAGGCTGACCTGAGTTGGCCATATAACATCAAGTCAGCAATAAAAACTGGGTGTTGTGGTTTAACCTGGCAGCCAGCTAAACACCACGCAGCCGTTCACTCACTCTCCCCCTCCCCAGTGGGATGGGGGAGAGAATCGTCAAAAAAAAGTAAAATTTGTGGATTGAGATAAAGACAGTTTAATAGGACAGAAAAGGAAGGGAAAATACTAATAACAACAACAACAACAATAATAATAATATTAAAAACAAGTGATGCACAATGCAATTGCTCACCACCTGCTGACTGATACCCAGCCAGTTCCTGAGAAGTCATCGCAACCCCCTGGCCAACCCCCCCCCAGTTTATATACTGAGCATGATGTCATAGGGTATGGAATAGCCCTTTGGTCAGTTTGGATCAACTATTCTGACTGTGCCCCCTCCCAGTTCCCTGAGCACCTAGCAGAGCATGGGAAGCTGAAAAAGTCCTTGAGTAGTGTAAGCAGTACTTAGCAACAACTAAAACATCGGTGTGTTATCAACGTTATTCTCAAACTAAATTCAAAACATATCACTATGCCAGCTACTAGGAAGAAAATTAACTCTATCCCAACTGAAACCAGGACACTGGGGCAGAGGAAGAAGGGGTGGTGGGTTTTGGGTTTTTTTTTTGCTTCCAAGGTGTCTGTTGCTCAGAGATTGGCTGGGCATTGGCCTGCTTGTGTGAGATGGTGAGTGATTGCTTTTGCATTGCTTGGTTTTTTCCTCTTTCTTTTACCTATTAAATTGCCTTTATCTCAACTCACATTTTTTTCCCTTTTGCTCTTCCTATCCTATCCCCCATCCCTTTGAAGATGAAGGGGAGTAAGCAAGCAAGTGTGGGTGCTTGGCTGCTGGCTGGGGTTAACCCACAACACAGGGATTAGCTGCAATTTGCCAAATGTGGTACTATAAAAGGAAGTATTTTAAAACAGGAAATACATGGCAATCTTTTTTGTTTTATTTTTCTTGTGTAGTATTTGTAGGTTTTAATATCAATTCTGTGATATAGCATGAAATAGTGAGCTGAGTGTTTTTCTATGCTGAAACCCACTTCAGGTAAGGCCTTCAATCATTAAATTTGTCTTTACTGATTTTCAGTGGTAAGATTGTTATCTAAGTGTATTTCTGCAGTTTACTCAGTTTGCATCTGCATAGCAAACCTCATTTTCTGTTTCTACAAGAGTGAGTGAAGTACTGCAATACATCTAGGTTTTAGTGAATGTTAATATCTCCAGAATTTGGAAACCTGCAGTCCTGGTTGTAGAGATTCACAACTAGGACAAAGAGAATGGAGCTGTACCGCAAAATTAAATTGGGTCTAATTCTGGTCTCTTCTGCCTATACAATTTTCTGCACTTACACAGTATGCATTTATAAGCTATTAAAATATCAGTGAACTGATGTCAGGGGAGTTATGATAGATTTACACCCATGCCTGAGAACAGAATTCAGCCCCAAGTCTCCAGCTGAGTTGCTCAGACACCTGTGCATCATGAAGGGCCATCATGAAGTCTCAATTTAGAAATGAAGCCACATTGTTGTGTGTCTCCATGTAGCACAAAGGCAGACAAAGGGAGAATATATTTATGAGCACATCCTGTAGTTGGTTTCCAAATACAGGAGAAAAACATGAACCACATCTTAAATATATAGCAAACTGCAGCTCTGCCAATGAAGACAAGTAGTTGCAGGCTACAAGCAGTTGCAGTCTATGGTGCCGGATTGGATCCATGCAAGAGTACTGAAGGAGCTGGTGGAGGAGCTTACCAAGCCACTCTCCATCATCTATCAGCAGTCCTGGTTAACAGGGGAGGTCCCAGATGACTGGAGGCTTGCCAATGTGACGCCCACCTACAAGAAGGGCCAGAAAGAGGATCTGGGGAACTACAGGCCTGTCAGCCTGACCTCGGTGCTGGGGAAGATTATGGAGTGGTTCATCTTGAGTATGCTCAACAGGCATGTGCAGGTCAACCAGGGGATTGGGCCCAGCCAGCATGGCTTCATGAAAGGCAGGTCCTGCTTGACCAACCTGATTTCCTTCTATGACCTGGTGACCTGCCTACTGGACGAGGGAAAGGCTGTGGATGTCATCTACCTGGACTTCAGGAAAGCCTTTGACACCATCTCCCACAGCATTCTCCTAAGGAAGCTGGCGGCTCATGACCTAGGTAGGTGTACTCTTTGCTGGGTAAAAAACTGGCTGGGTGGCTGAGCCCAGAGAGTTGTGGTGGAGTTAAATCCTCTTGGCAACTGGTCACAAGCGGTGTTCCCCAGGGCTCTGTTTTGGGGCCAGTCTTGTTTAATATCTTTGTCAACAATCTGGATGAGGGGATTGAGTGCACCCTCAGTAAGTTTGCAGATGACACCAAATTGGGCAAGATTGTTGATCTGCTCAAGGGTAGGAAGGCCCTGCAGAGGGATCTGGACAGGCTGGACCGATTGGCCGAGGCCAGCTGTATGAGGTTCAACAAGGCCAAGTGCCGGGTCCTGCACTTTGGTCACAACAACCCCATACAACGCTACAGCCTTGGGGAAGAGTGGCTGGAAAGCTGCCTGGTGGAGAAGGACCTGGGGGTGTTGGTTGACAGCCAGCTGAACGTGAGCCAGCAGTGTGACCAGGTGGCCAAGAAGGCCAACAGCCTCATGCATCGGA